CCCTTTCATCACAGCATATATAAATTCATCACCATAAAAATTTACTAAGCTCAGTTTTTGCACATTTTCTCCTCTATCCTCCTTACTAACCTGATCTCTGGAATGGCCACTCATAAAGCAAATTGTGTCTGTAAGTGAGATTATCACATGCTTCACAGAAACATGTGCTCTGTGTCCTTGAGAGCAAAGGATCCAAAGGATCATTTGGTATCAAAGTGCAGGAAAACTATGAAGGGAGTAAAGTAATGAAGCAATGACAAGCCCATCAAGAATATAATCTAAATGGAGAGTAGCCCCATTAAAGCCACTGGTTAACTTTGCACAGGTTTAAGGCTGTTACAAGTGGCAACAGCAATTATGTGCCTCATATTTTCAGATTAAGGAGTTGGTTGAGCTTGAGACTTCCTGCAGCTTTCTCTGCATCTGACTGAAAGCACAGAAGAGGTTCCCAGAGGGTAGACTGGGGAAAAGGCAGAAAAAACTTATTAATTTGGGGATTCCTTAAAGCATCAGCCTGGAGCAGCCACAGGCCACATTGCTTTTGTTTAAACAGGAGCTGGACACACACCCAGGACCACCCCAGGCCTGTGGGACCAGCTGTCTGCAATTTTTACAGGTGAATACTGAATATATAACTGAAATACTGATGTGCAGAGACACCCTGTGTCTGGAAATCAAGCTATCTATAAGCAGTAGAAGAAAAATGAGGTTTCCCCTCTCCATGACCAGTCTTGAGGCACATCACTGGTGGAGCATTAACCTTCTCTTTGACCACAGCCATTTGCCAGTCCTTCTGCAGCCTCCTTGTACAGAGAAGCATCCAAATAACATCCCCTTGCATCTGACCAGGATAAATAAGCTGTTTTATGGCAGGAGCAGGGCGGTGTGTCCTTGGGAGGAGTGTCTGGCTTGGCTACTGACATCCCTGCCCATGTCAGGCAAGAGAGACTGGGCACAGGTTTCCCTTCCTGAGGGTCCCTCCAGCAGAAACATGTTAATTAGTGTACTTAAAAGTTAGTAAAACCTTCCACAGCTGAGAAAGTGGGATAGCAGAGGCCTCACTTGTTCATTAATTTGTCATATGTGCTTCACCTTCATTGGTTCTTGGCAATGTTTTGCATAAGCACACCCAGGTTTCCGAGCTGAAAACATGCTGGAAAATGTTGGGGTTACTCTATGCAAATAAAACACCAAATCAGCTACACCAGCTTTAGGGCTTCACGTCCTTTCAGAGCTCAAACACCCACTCATTTATTATTCTATTTGGAAAGTCTTTCATGGTACTCAGACTTCCTCCCTCTGGGGGAAATCAGCATATGGCAAAGGCAGGATTAGAGCAGTAAACACACTCAAGTGAAGTCCTGTTCTACTGGTTTAATTGCTTTGAGGTGAAGCCATGATTTGATGGAGGATCTATTTGCTGGAGGATATATTCAAACAAATCAGTGAGTTACTATGGCTAATTTTAAGTGCACGTTTCAGAGGTATCATTCAGCTTCTTTCTGGTTGGAGGGAGGAGAGTATGGAACACACTGCACAGCTCTGTGTGAATTGTATTGATACACTTATTTACTGCCCCATCCCAAGTTCAGAGAAGCAATACAGCATTAATAAATTATTTTAGCAATAGGTCCAATGCTGGATGCATGCTATTGAACACTTTTTTTCAAATTATCATTTGAGTCTTGCAGCCTGCAGAAATCATTGCAGATAAAAATTCTCTTAGTTTCTTCTTTTTGCCAGCTGCTGGGTGATCTTTCTATTCTTGTGTACATCACGGACTCTAATTATCAGACCTAACCCTCGGATCACTGGAATTCACTTCATTGACGGGGAGCAATAACTGACAGTGCAGTTATTGTCCAGTCTTTTTTTAAACATATTTAGGGATGGTGATTCCACAACCTCCCTGGGCAGATGATTCCAGCACCCAATCACTCCTTCAGTGAAAATTTTTTTTTCCTGACATTTAACCTAAACTTCCCCTGGTGCAGCTTGGAAGTGTGTCCTCTTGTTCTGTCAGTGGTTGTCTGGGAGAAGAGACTGACCCCCACCTGTAGCCATGATATTTTATGAAAAATCCTTTCCTAGGATTTTTCCCATCCTGAGGAGCTGAGAGCCTCAGGAAAGAAATGTAAACAATAACTATCTGCTGCTGTGGAATGCAACAGGTGCATCTTCCATTGGTCCATGGGGATTGTTTTCAATTAGTGACCAATCACAGCCCCCTGTGCCAAGGCTGTGAGCAGTCACGAGATTTTGTTATCTATTCTATTCTATTTTATTCTATTCTATTCTGTTCTTGTTCTTTGTAGCCTTCTGATCATCTTCTCTCTCTGTTTTTTAGTATAGTTTTAATGTAGTATTTTAATATAATATATAACATAATAAATCAGCCTTCTGAGAAAAATTGAGTCAAGCCTCGTGACCCCACACTTGGATGGTTCACTGCAACACCCACCTGACTTCAACTACTTTTCAGGGAGTTATAGAGAGTAATAAGGAAACCCTGAGGTTTTCCTGAGGAAACCCCAGATTGGAGTAGATTTTGACCCCGTGGAGCAGTGAATCCTGTGCCAGGATGTGGGAATTCTTGGAGCAGACTGTGGAGATCCAGCTATCTGACACCACCCAGAATGTCACCTTGGAGAGCCCCAGGTGAGGGGAAGACAGGGAAGGACCCCGGGGGGTGCAGGAGAGGAGGTTTGGGTGGGGTCACCATTCCATGGTGCCAACATCTCCCAGGGTTTGGTCCATCTCCTGGTCTCACAGTACTCCCACCAGTAGTTCCACCATTATCTCCCATTGGCTCCAGCACCTCCCAGTGGTGGGGAGACTGTCTCCTACTGGTTCCACCACCTACCAGTTGTTCCACCACGATCTCCCAGCAGTCTCACCATCCTCCCCTGATCCCACCCTTCCATTTCTCCTCCCAGGACCTACTTTGACAGCGGCCACAGCCCCCCCAGTCCTCCCATGCCCCTGCCTCCTCGAGCCCCATGAATGCCAGCTTCCAGCTGTTGGTGCAGTATAAAACACAGAGCAGCACACGGGTCCCAGCGTAACTTTATTTCATGGTAAAACTTCCCCTTTTCTCTTCCCAGGACCCCAATCTTCCCAGGGACAAAGGAGTTTATATTTTGGGGGCAGGTCTCAGGGGAGGGTGCAATCTTTAACAAATCAGGAGAATTGGAAGTGAAAAACCAGGCAGGGATTACAATGTGTAAACCAATAAAAATCCCAAGGGAGGAGAACAGTTTCAGTAAACTGACGACAAAGTTTGGAGAAATGGAAACTAGCAGCTAATAACAGGAGGAGTGACGAAAATTCTGGGAAAAGGTGGGAACAAAAAGGAAACAGCATAAAGAAATTATCAAATTACAAATCAAACAATAAGCCTACTAGGAAAACAAAAAACCACATCACAACAGAGGAATGAAGGAAGAAAAAAAAAAAAAGCCAGTCTCCATTTACAATTGAAACCCAGCCTCATCTGGAGCCACTTTTGTGGTGAAATTCGGTGAATTCCTTTGCATTCTTTGCATTCTTCTTGAACTCCGAGAGTGTGTTCATGTGAGAGTGTTGTGTTGATTTGAGTTTTCCAGCATATCAACATGGGGATACCCGTGATATAAAAATTCATTTGCTGAGAGACTATTGGAGCGTAATTGAGTGTCTGCTGGTGTCTTGGAATTGCTTTAGTTTTGTGGCTGAGATCGCATTTGTGGGCTTGAAACACCCTCTTGTGTCAGTTTTAGTGATTGCCCGTTTGGCACCCTTCCTTCTCTTCCTCACGCCCCCTTCCATTACAAACCTGGAAATACTATTGTAACTTTCAGAGATAATACCTTGTATATTTGGAATTATTGAAAATGGGGCTGAAAATTATTGAAAATTTAGTTTCTTCTAAAACTAAAGTGGGAGATTTCAATTCTCCATTGAAATGTATATTGAAAAACTGGAAACAGACTGGAGGAGACCCACCAAATAAACCTAGATTAATCCAATATTGTCATCAGTGGTGGCCAGTATACCAGCTAAACTACCAGTTTAAGTGGCCAGAGAATGGTACCTTAGTTTAGGGAGGGGGAAGAGGGAAATTGAATTAATTGCCTTATGTGGATTTATTATTCTATTTGGAAAACCATCTGAAACTGAAAAAGGAGAGGCCAGTGTTGGGGTGAACCTGGGGTAAACAGAAAGTCTCTCATGGCCTGGTAATGGTAAAGTACCTTTCTTTTCCAATCGATCTTGAGGCATGGGTGAGATGCCTCACTTCTTTTTAGCGAAGATCTGGAGAGACTACCTGAAGTATTTGAAACCATTTTCAAGACCCAGACTGACTGGATATACAGGTTCTGCTAGATAATTCAGTCGATTGTACAGATAAAGAGACAGTACTTCAGACTAGTAGGAGGGAGGTGAACAGAATAGACACAGAGGGCAGGCTACCACAGGAACTGCTGAAGAGCACTTTCCCTCCCTGGACCCCCACTGGGACCCCAATACCAGGGAAGGGAAGGATTTCCTGGGACAATATCAAAAATTTGGCTTTAAACAAGCAATGCCAAGGCAAATCAATTGTTCTAAACTTTATGAGGTGAAATAAGAACCTCATGAGACTCTAGTGCATCTGCAGGATGCCTAAGGGCAACGCTAATATTGATCCAAAAAAAACAGAGGAAGGAAAAGAAACAAAAATAAACAGGCCAAACCCACAGAGCAGCAGTATCTCTAGTCAGAGAAACCAGGTGCCCAGCCAGCCAAAAAGCCTGCCCAGGAGGAAGGAGCTGCCCCTCACTCTGCCCTTAGCTCTTGCTGGAAACCCTGGTCTGGCTCTCACTCATCCTGATGATCCCAAAGTCTGGGGGACTGGGGTGGGGGGAGAGGGGGTAGGATCAGTGACCACCCCAGACACAAAAAAAACAAAAATTGTATGAGACCAAAAACAAAATCCCAAGACAGTAATTTTTCAGGAAAATTCACAATACACAAAAAATGGGTTTTTTAATAGTACCACGAAAGAAAATTTATTTCCCTTGACAACATAAAATTTCCCTCAAAAAACTTTTCATTCTGAAGCATAATTTAGAAAGCTGACCACTGTGACAGGTTTGGCCTCTCCTTCAATACTTTTGTTCGGAAGACACAAATCAGCAGCCTGATTACAATGTGATTCAATCGAAGTGTTGACCTTTGAAATGCAGAATAAACTACTCATCATCATCAGAAAACTGCAGTATTGCTAGCGGCTCAGTGTCAGGCTCAGCAGCAGCAAGGCCTGTAGAGAAGAAGGGAAGGAATTTGCCTTCCTGTCTGCTGCCATCAGCAATACTCAAAGTGCACAAAACTACTGCATTAAAGACATCATAAAAAGAAACCTTCTTGGCTGGGATGTCCAGGAAGATCCCAATCTGTGACAAATAGCCAGTCACAGTCAGACAGGTCCAAGGATTTGTGCAGGCCAAATAATCTTGCCCATCTACACAGGCGATAACCCAAAAGCCATTCTCAGGACACAGAGTCAAAGTGCCTTTGCGAGGCACAGATTCACAGGCAATACCCAAGGCCCAGTTTCTTCTTGTCCCAACATTTACTTCCCAATAGTGTTTCCCGGAAGTGTATCCTTCCTTTGCCAACACAAACAGATGGGAATCAAATCTCTTCTCATTTCCGAGCAAGAATCTGATGACACCAGTATCTTTCACTGTCCTCCCATCTGCAGAGATTTCCAGTCTGGGATGAGCTGTGTCAGCATCCAGGATGACATCTCCTGCAATGGTCAAGTCAGGCCATGAGGAACAGAAAACACAAGCTCTGCTTTTCTGAGCATTTCTTTTCTCTGCCTTCCTCCCCCTTTCATTTGTCCTTCCCTCCCTCCATGCTCAGGTGCACTCAGCAGCCTCTTGTCTTAGGACACCTCAAGCTTCTCCCTCCACTCCTGCCATGTCCCTTCCTGCCAGAGAGAGTGGCAGCCAGCACACACCAAATGCCAGGCACTCTTCCAGTGCTCCTGGGGCTGCAGCAGGCAGCTCCAAGGAGGAGGCTGTGCTGCCCAACCTTCTCTGCCTCCATCTCTGCATTGCTGGCAGGGGGTGGCCTGAGGAAAAGGACCAGGAGCTGGCAGCAGCTGGAATGAGGTTTGGCTGACAGCAGCTGTAATTAGGTTTAGATTAACTCCTTGCCAAAATCTGAAGGGGGTTTTCAAGTTTTAAGCACTTTTTTCCTCAATAACAGGAAATCACCAGTGTATTATACTGCTTGCACATGGATTAGAGTGGAAGAGTGGTCTGCAGTACCACAAGGATAAAGGAATGTTTCTTGCCTCAGCTTTCTACATGCATCAGAGAATGGGAGGAACCTCTGGTAGGACTCAAGCAAGGTGCAATGTCACAAACTGAGGTCCTCTAGCTCAATTCTGATTGAAAGGAGAATTGTTGTGGAGCAAGATCAGCTCCAGACGCTTTTTCTGCCAAATCAGAAGTGGGAGCTAGAGCTGCAGTGGCCAGTGCAAGCCAGCTGTGCCTGCTCCCCACAGCTGAGAGGGCTCCTGACAAACACAGGCAGGGCCTGGGGCAGCACATAACAGTGAAAAAAGTCATCCAACCACCCTTCCCTGAGTGAGTTCTTCCCCAAACAGCTATTCAAGGGCGTTGGGTGTGTTTTCCAGAGCTGCACTCAGGCTCTTGAGTACTCACTTCCTCATTTCACTTATGCTTACCTTTGTAGGACCGTAGATCTGGAAGGTCTGTGGGAAAGGAGAAAAGCAGGAAGTAAGTGGATTTGTTAATGCTTGCTCTGGCAATGAAACAAAATTTGCCAGGGTGACAATGAGGCCACTCTCCTGCCCCCCTAGTCTGACACTGACAGTATGGTCAGACACAAGGCTCTGAGAGTTGCGGGGGCACTGACAGCACAGTCAAACAGAACAGGATTGAGGATATCTCTTACACAATACCCAGCTCTCTCCTTCATGACACTGATGCCACGCCCATGATCTCCTACTCCCCCATCACACACACACATACACACTGTTTATTTAACCAGTTCTACTCTCATTTCATCAAAGACTCCCAGAGAAAACAGTACATCAGGGTGTGTGATAATTTTGTTTTCCAGACATGGGGCATGTGGCTCCAACTTGCTTCCTCTGAGGACCAAGGAGGACTAAAATGTGCTGTGAGATGAGCTCAGCCAGAGGCCAGAGGAATGGCCAGACCCTAAACTAAAAAGGAGATGGGCTTTCACAGAGAAAGACTTGCCAGGAAGCAAAGGTGACCTTCCTGCACCAGGTACCCCTGGAAACCCTTGTCAAAGTGATTGAGCACTGCTGAGCCAGGGGGAAGAGGAGCAGGGCTTGCCCAAGGCCTGAGCCTCTACATTTCATCTGGGACTCTCACACTCCCAGTGGTCCTTCCCTCCCTGAAGTGTCCAGCTCCCAGTGTTCTGGGGTACATGGGCTCTGGAAAAAGGAGAACAAAGACCCTCCCAGCTCAGTAGAACTGGTTTGGATGGACTGACTGCTGGAGGGCTGGGGAAAGAGCTCACAGGTCCTGTGAGCTTTCCCAAAGGCTTGGGAAAGGCCTGATGGGCAGGATGGAGGGTTGGGATCAGGCCCCCTCCATCTCTCCAAACAGCACTTCTGGGCTGTGGGAGACAACAATGTTTGTTAAGAGGAAGAGAAGTGGGGAAAGCAAGAAGATAATACTAAGGCATGGAGGTGGGCTCCTTTACCACATATTGGGTCATAGAGAGCCCACACTACACATTCCTCTCAAAGACAAGGTCATGAAGAGGAACCTTGACCACCTGCAGTCATAATCTCGGTGTTCAGGTGTCTTCACAGGTGAGGACACAAGAGCAACTTGCCAAGAAAATCTGTCCCTCTCCATCTGTTTGAGGAGCTGTTTACAAGAAGCTCACAGGACAATTTGCCTGTAAAGCAGCTTTACCCTTCAGAGAAATGAAGTTCTGCTGGAAAAGGCCTTGCTCACCTAAGTCATATTTTGTAGACCCCAATGCAGTCTGAGAAGTTTTTTCCAGAACTTGGATTTCCTGGGAGAGCTGCTGGATGTCCATCAGCTGAATGGATTCCAGGACCCTTGAGGTATTTTCCTTCACTCTCCTTCCTGTAAGAGAAGACTGGTGTCAGTGGGACAGTGGTTTGACCTCACTTGAGATGAGGTATGGGACCACAAATTACACTGGACCTTTCTTCTTAGAAAGGACCAAAGAGATGCTGTGCTTTCACTTCCTCCAAATGTGATGGAGAGACAATGAACATTTACTGACTCCCAGCACCATTTCATCATCAAAGGTGATGATTCCACTTTCATGGGACAAAAGAGCTGCTCCCAAGGAAGTTCTGCCCCATGCACCCACTCGGAGGAGGCAATGATTTAGCTGACAAGGACATCTGTAAAGCAGCTTCTGCCTGTCGAGAGATGAAGGCCTGCTGGGAATGGCCTAGCTCACCTAGTTCATTCTTCATGTCTGCTCTTATCGTCTGCAGGTCACACTGTGTGGACTGCTGCATGTTCTGGAATGCTTCCTGCAGAGTTTGCATTTGTTGGGAGTAGTGCAGAAGGTCCTTCTTCCACATGGATTCCATGGTCCCTGTATTTGCCTCCACTGTCCTTTCTGTGAAGAAAGAACCATCTCACTGAACAGTCTCATTGCAGTCTCGAGGGGGAGACCAGCAACCTGCAATCACAATGCCTGAAAGCTCTGATTTAAACTCTCTGCCAGAGCATCTTTCCTTAGGACTCTCCCTCTCCCTGTGGACCTCCCTAAAGGCTTGACCAAGGCCTGCTGGGCACCACTGACCCCAGTCCATCTCTGCAGACAGCATCTGTGGGCCCAGGGAAACAGCACCCATTGTCATGAGGAGGGTGTGGTGGGACATCCCCTAGCTGTCCCTCAGACCCCATTGTGGTCTCAGGAATGTTCACTGGGCCTCAGCCTTTGTCAGTGGCTTCCGAGATTGGACATGGACGCTGTGCCTGCCCAGGGGAATTTGGCAGAGAGTGCTGGGTGCTGCCAGTGCCCTCCCGTGCCCCCACCTCATGCACTGGCCATGGAGATGGCCCCAAGCTGAGCAGGTGAGCATGGGGTGGGGTGATCATGGGCACAGACATGCAGGGTGTGTGCAGCGGCATCAGGAGTGGGGCTGCAGCAGAAGGGCAATGAGGAAGGGGACGGAGACAGGGACAAGGGCTAAAGGTGAAACCTTACTGACTATCAGTGAAAGAATTTAGAGTTGAAACTGTCTTCAAAGACAAGGGAGAGAAGAGGGACCTTGAGCCCCTGCAGAGAACACTTCACCATCAAAGGTGTTCCAGTGGCATGGATGACAAATCCATTACCCATGTAAGGGCTGTCCTTCCCCATCCCCTTTGAGGAGCTCTGGAGGATGTCCTCACAGGAAAGCTTGCCTGTAAAGCAGCTTCTGCCTGTCGAGAGATGAAGGCCTGCTGGGAATGGCCTAGCTCACCTAGTTCATTCTTCATGTCTGCTCTTATCGTCTGCAGGTCACACTGTGTGGACTGCTGCATGTTCTGGAATGCTTCCTGCAGAGTTTGCATTTGTTGGGAGTAGTGCAGAAGGTCCTTCTTCCACATGGATTCCATGGTCCTTGTATTTGCCTCCACTGTCCTTTCTGTGAAGAAAGAACCATCTCACTGAACAGTCTCATTGCAGTCTCGAGGGGGAGACCAGCAACCTGCAATCACAATGCCTGAAAGCTCTGATTTAAACTCTCTGCCAGAGCATCTTTCCTTAGGACTCTCCCTCTCCCTGTGGACCTCCCTAAAGGCTTGACCAAGGCCTGCTGGGCACCACTGAAGGCAGCACTGACCCCAGTCCATCTCTCCAGGCAGCATCTGTGAGCCCGGGAAACAGCACCCATTGTCATGAGGAAGGTGTGGTGGGACATCCCCTAGCTGTCCCTCAGACCCCATTGTGGTCTCAGGAATGTTCACTGGGTGTCAGACTTTGTCAGTGGCTCCCGAGATTGGACATGGACCCTGTGCCTGCCCAGGGGAAGGTCCCTGGACATTTGTCAGAGAGTTCTGGGTGCTGCCAGTGCCCATGGTGCCCCCACCTCATGCACTGGCCATGGAGATGCCCCCAAGCTGAGCAGGTGAGCATGGGGTGGGGCTCATCATGGGCTCTTAAACTTGGAGGTGCTTCAGTGTCATGGAGTACAAAAGCTGCTTTGCCATGTCAGGACTCTTCTTCTTCACCCTCTTTGAGGAGCTGTGGAAAATTATTTCATAGGACTGTTTGCCTGTAGAATACCTTTTTTCTTCAGAAATTTGAAAGCCTTCTGGGGAATGGTTAGTTTACCTAGGTCATGCTCCAAGTCTGTTCTGACCATCCGAAGGTCACGCTGTGTGGTGTCATACATGTTCTGGAGATTTTTCTGTAGAGTTTGAATTTGTTGGGAGGCTTCATGGTGGTCCTTCTCCAGCCTGGATTCTAAGCTGGTTGTTTTTTCCTCCACTGTCCTTCCTGAGAAGAAAGAACATTTTCACTGGGACAAAGTCATGGTTTTCTTGAGGGAGAGCCCATTGATCTTTAATGACGATACCCAAAAGCTCTGATAAAAAATCCCTGTTAAGGCTTCTCTTAGGGCTCTCTTAGGCTTCTCCTACTCCCTGTGGGTCTTCCTCATGGCTTGACCAAGGCCTCCTGGGAAGGATGGAGGGCAGGAATGATCCCACTCTATCTCTCCAGAGAGTACTCTTGGGAGATAATACTCTTTGTTTTGAGGATTGTGTGGTGTCACAGAGCACAAAAACTGTTTCCTGTGTAAGGGCTGTCTTTCCCCACCCCCCTTGAGGAGATGTGGTGGACAAGTTCACAGGACTGTTTGCTTGTAGGGCAGCCTTTGCCTTCAGAGGTATGAAGGCCTGTTGTGGAAATGCTTCTGCTCACCTAGTTTGTTCTCCAGGTCTGTTCTGGTCATTTGAAGGTCACGCTGTATGGCAACCTTCATGTTCTGGAAAGTTTGCTTCAGAGTTTGAATTTGTTGGGAGACATGCAGGAGATCCTTCTGCCATATGCATGCTATATTCCCTGTGACATTTGCCTCCACTGTCTTTCCTGTGAAAAAAGACTGGTGTCACTGGGACAATGGTTTTTCTCCCTTGAGGAGAGGTCTTTTCCCACTAATAACACAAAACTTTCCCCTGAAAAAGGAACAAGGAGATATTCTTTCACTCCCTTCTACAATAAGGGAGAGAAGAGGGACCTTGACCATCTCCAGTTGCCACCTCAGCATCAAAGGTGTTCCAGATGACTGGGACATAAGAGCTGCTCCCAAGGAAGTTCTGCCCATTCTGACAAAAGGCAAAGGATTAACTCAAAGGTCAGTTTACCTGTAGAGCCAGATTGACCTTCAGAGACATGAAGGCCTGCTGGGGAATGGCCCTGCTCACCTAGTTCATCCTTCAGGTCTGTTCTGATGATCTGAAGGTCACGCTGTGTGTACAGCTGGGTGTTTAGAAAAGCTTTTTGCAGAGCTTGAACTTGTTGGGACATTTCATGGAGGTCCTTCTTCCACATGGATTCCAGAGTGTTTGTAGTATTTGCCTCTATGGTAAATCCTATAAAGAAAGAACAGTGTCATTGGGACACTCTCATTACCTTCTTGAGGGAGAGAGCAGTGTCCTGATTTAAATTCACTTCCAGAGAGTCTCTTCAGGTTTCCCTTTGAGCATTCTTGATCAAAAAAGCTATTCCCCACATAAGGATTGTACTTCTCCGTCTGCTTTGAGAAGCTGTGGTGGGCAATCACACAGGACATTTTGCCTGTAGAGCAGCTTTTGCCTCCAGGGAAAAGGTGGCCTGCTGGGGAATGGCCCTGCTCACCCAGTTCATTCTCCAGGTCAGTTCTGAGGAGCTGAATATCACGCCGTGTGGACTCCTGCTCATTCTGGAAAGCTTCCTGCAGAGTTTGAATTTTTTGGTAGAGGTGCTGGTGGTTCTTCAGCCAAACAGTTTCCAAGGAGTCCACTCTCTTTCCTGTGAAAAAAGACTGGTGTCACAGAGATAATGATTTTTCCTCCCCTGAGGCGAGGTCTTTCGTTCCACTAGTGACATAGACCTTTCCCCCTAGAAAAGATCAAGAAGATGCTGTTCTTTCACCACCTTCAAGGACGAGGGAGAGAAGAGGGACCTTGACCACCTCCAGCTGCCATCTCAGCAATCAAATGTGTTGCACTGGCATGGGACATAAGAGCTGCTCCCAAGGAGATTCTGTACAAGGCATACACTCCAAGGACTAACTAACAAGTCAGTTTGATTGTGGAACAGTGATTGCTTCCAAAAAGATAAAGGCCTGATGGGGAATGGCCCTGCTTGCTATTTTATTTTTCATTTTTCTTTCTTTGTGCAGGGAGGGCACAAGAAATTCAATTCAGTCTCCTCATGTCCTGCCTATTTCTAATTTATACTCTCCAGACTTCTCTTTCCCCAGACAATCCTTTCTAATTCAGAGGCCTTGGAAAAGAACTCAGCCCTGAAAAACAAAGATGGGGACTTCACATTCTAACGGACCTGTGGGCACCATTGATCTCTTCCTTGGCTTTCAGATGCTCTTCCACCAAGAGTTTGCTCTGGGAAGGAGCCTTGGCCTCTCTTCTGGACCTGCAGTCTTCCTTGTGACATGGAAACTTTTTGCCACTACAGTTTTTACCTGTTGAAAGGAGTCTCAGCGCCACTGTGAGCCCTTCTAAACATAAGCTTGAAGCTCCTGTGCTGCTGGTGACGAATATTGAAAGGAACCCCATTGCCTTCTCACTCCCCAGTGGTGTGGCCACAGGGGAGAGCCCAGGCCACGCTAATTGCCAAGTGTTCACTGAGCAAAGAACATTCCTCTGCCAGCATCCCAGCTGGAAAGAGCAGGAATGGGAGAAAAGCTTAGATCCCAGGGACGATGGGATCCAGAAGAGTCCAGGCTGTCCTGGTCGGTGCTGGGAAAAGCCCACATTTGGGGCAGCTCTGCACCCTGGAGTCCTGAGCATCTGCGTGGGGATGGGAAATATAACAAAGGACTTGTTGGAGGCCTGTGGAAGTGGGAATTTCCAGAGGGGTGAGATTGTTTGATCTCACTGCACTAGACCCTCATGCATCTTCTTCTTGCTTGGCAGAGGTTTTTTTCTAAATACTGTGGGTATGTCCTGGCACTGATCCATCAGAGAAGGCTGATGGAAAGGCTTCTCTTTGTGTGAGCAGAAGTCACGTAGAACCTCTCCTTGGTCATCTGTTGATAATCTGACAAGACAATGAGTCTCAGAAATGCAGAATTGCAGACTCAAATCATCAAACAATGGTTTGGGTTTTAAGAGACCTTGTAGGTCCTCTCTTTCCAATCCACAGTCAGGGCCCTGCTCCAGCTCCCACCCAGGAAGGAAAACCAAGTCCACAAAAGCCCCCCAGAAAGGGCTGAACATGGCTGTGCCCTCAGACACCACAGAGCTGGAACGCCTGGCACTGGACTGAGGAAACGAGACCTCTCACCAGCCATGGCTGCAGAGGCAGGGATCTCTGGACAGGCCCTTGCCAAGGTGGGAGGCACCACTGACACTTCTAGAAAAAAGGGTCCACATCTGATGGATGAGCTCCACTGGGGAGAATGAGACCAGTGGAGGCAGAGGAAGGGACCCTTCTAATTCACCCCAGGAAAAGTACCCAATCCCATCCTCCTTCCTTCCTCCAATCCCATCCTCCTTCCTTCTCTTGCCTGTAGGTACCATGGTCCACCCAAGCTCTCAGCTGCATGTGGAGGCACCTCCCTTCTGCCTCTGGATGACAGGTGACAAAATTCTACCTGCAGGAGAACTCAAATTTAAGCTGAGTGGAAGTTAATGCATCTGAAAGCCAGAAGTAGACTCTACATGATATTTCATCCTATTTGTCAGAGAGTAGTCTTACAAGAGGCTGAGAAATTACATCCTGCAGCCTCGCTTCTAAGAGCATGAGGTCCTGTGAACCAAGACACCTTACCTTGAAATACCAGAACAGCACCAGCAGCCAGTGTGAGAAGGAATAAAGCGAGCTGTATCCAGGAGGCAGGGACCCACTGAGATGCACCTGGAAAAACAGAACCTTTGGGGGGAAAAAAAAATTCCAAAATTTCTTTGGGAAAAAAAAAACACCCAAAGAGATTTTGTGGAGATAAATAGATAAATAGAGAAATAGTCACAGTCCTACACAGGTGGTCAGAGCCTGCCTTCCCTCGGGATGTGCACATCCTTAGGGGCAAGAGAGATCCTGCTCATTTCACACTGCAACCTGCCCTGCCTGCAGTGCCCCATGGTGGTCTGGGGTGGGTCTGGCTGGACTGGAGAGTTGTCACCTTTCCTGGCACTGGAAAGGGCCTCACAGGGCTCCTGAGACAGTGAGCCTCCAGCAAAGACTTCTGGGGACAATGGAACTCACCTGAGATGTGCCCAGTAGTTTTCTTCTCCACCTGTACAGGGGGTTCAGGATTTGACAGGTGACTTTTCCCACTTGCTCTCCTGTAAATGTAACTCGACTACACACACTGAAGAACCTCTCACTGTCCTGGTTACTTTCAGTGTCTGCAGAGAGCCCCTGCCCATCCTCAGTAGCCCACTGGGTGACAGGTTCTGGAAGCCACCTGTGAGATCTGCAGCCAAGCTCTAGCCCTTGCCCTTGGGAGCCCTGAATTTCAATGAACACTTCACCAGGACCTTAAAGGCAAGAGAGTTTGTTGGTGGGAGAAGTGTATTTCCTTGAAAGCTGCTCTTCCTTTGATTCACAGCTCTTTCTTAACCCAGATTTTCCTGTCAGTTTCTGTCAGTCCTTCACACAACCTTTACATTGGTCTTTCTGTCATCCCGCACTTCATCTGCCATAAATGCCAGATTTCCTTTGGCTTAGAAAGAGCTATGGTGTGGGATGGATTTGCTTCTCAGCTCCCCATTATTTCATGAGCAGGCAGGGAGAAGGTGTGTGGTTTGTATTCTTCTTTTAGAATGACTCTGTAGGACCCCCATCCAGTTTTGAGGATTGGTAAAGCAGGGCACAGCACAGTAAAGCCCTGGCACCTCCCCATTCCATGCCAGAACTGCAGGTGGCCACAGATGGTCACTGACAGGAGATGCCCCAAAGCTTCACCAGTGTGATGGGGTGGGATGCACCACACACAATTCAGAGTCACAGTCCTGGTCAAAGCTGGATTTCATGGGAATTTGTCCTGTGTAATAGTAGGAAATGGGTGCTGTCTTAAAGCTTTTCCTCTCTCCTCTCCCAAAAGCATCTCTAATCCCCTTTAGATGAGGTGATTTAGATTCAATCTTAGGAAGAAATTCTTGACTAAGAGTGAGGCACTGGCACAGCTTGCCCAGAGCAGCTGAGGATGTCCCATCCCTGGAAGTATTCAAGGCCAGGTTGGACAGCATTTGCTCTTGCCCATGGCTGGAAGTTCAAATGAGAAATTCTTTAAGGAATTCCAACTCAAGCCATTGCATGATTCTAAGATTCCCTGATTCCATCATTCTATGCTCTTTTTCATCAGTGAATCAAGGTTGACCAGCTCCATCTGACGTTATCAATCTCTGCCCACAAATGATGCCCACTGTCCACCTTGGGGGAACTGGCAGCAGAGAACATCTCCTTAGCCCTCACCCCAGCTGAGAAGTCACAAGACAGAGGGCCTCACTCCATCAGTCCCACAGCCAGGGATGCTGAGCACTTGGATGTCTGCCAGGTGGCCTCACACCTCCTCAGCAGGGATTATTGCAGCTCACCAGCCCCTTGTGTGTCAGAACAGGGCTCAGGCTGGGCATGGAAGTTGCAGAACATCTTGACAGGTGGCCCATGCTGAGAGTGGGGAGGGGATGTGTTGGGTCATATGCAGGGGCATCAGCTGGGGGACAGTGACATTTTGGAGAGCTCTTTTCCCTCTGTAAGAGCTTCCCCCCTTCCCTACCTGGCCTAGAAAGTCTCCAACCTGCAATGCTGAGCTTGGTGGCCATATCAACAATCCAATCCCTGGATATCACAGTGTAACTGCACAGTCCTTCATCTGCTGGCTGGACATTCTTCAGTGTCAGGGACACATTTCCAGTGTCAAATCCATCTCTTGGCACCGATGTCTGTCCTCTGTATTTCTGCATTGGTTCACCCCCAAACTGCTATATGTGTAGATGTCCTCTCAGTACCCATCTGGGATTTTTCTTCACTGCACTTTGGGATTGTCCAGTGGCTTTGTGGAAGCGATGGTGCAAGGAAGGATTGTATCCTGACCAACAATTCCAACTACATTCTCAGGAGAGGTGAGCTCAGAATTGTCTGTGAGTGAACATCTGGCTGAAATCAATCAGAAAATGTACTGGTGTGAAGGAAACAGGTCTAGGAGTCACAGTGGGGAACAAGTGAAAGTAATAGATTAAAGGGAGAAAACAGGGATGAAGTTCTACAGGATGGGATTATTTTGGGGAAAAGGAAAAAACTAAATGCATAAAAGCATATCCCATAAAAGAGCCATTTCATGCTGCTCCACAGCTGACCTTGCCCTTTTGCAGCCCTGTGTCACCAGCAGCAAGGTGGCTGTGGCAATGCCAACTGCCCATGCAGACAAGGACATGCTCCTGACACTGGGCAAAGCTGGACAGGGCACAGCTATCTTGGCTTAGGTCTTCCCTGGCTTCACCAGGGGAGAAAACCTCTGACTTCAAATGGCTGAATTCCCCAAGACCAGAGGGGCAGGGTAGCTCTGGATCTTGTGGAGTACAAATCAGAGCTGCTCAGGAGACCATGACCCTCAGCTGCAGGACTTCTGATCATCTGCAGGCTGGAATCCCCCAGAAAGGAGCAGAACAGCTCATGGAAGCATTACCTGAGAAAGGGATAACCAGAAGCAGTGCCAGAGCCAACTGGAGCCATCTCCTCTGCTCCATCCCTGCAGTCCAAGGGGTGGGATAATCCTGCAGCTGACCTGGAACAGGCACAGAAGAGAAGTGAGAAAAGAAGAGAAATCCTGTCCCAACCCCTTCAGATCTCTCTCCTGGTACTTGTCACCAGCTGTGACCCCTGAAGGTGCTAAACCTCAAACAGTTGAGATCAGAAATAAAAAAAAAAAAACTTGTGCCTTTTCAGAGATCTCAATTACACTTGCAGCTTCTGGGAATTTCAGTCTGGCATGCTCTCAGGAAGCTGTGACAGGGCATGCAAGAGAAAATTGCATGCCAATTGCAAGAGAAAATTGCATAACCCAGTCTCTACTTCCTGCTGTGAAATTCAATGGACACCTTAACACACCAGTTTAAATCCTTGGTTTGGAATCACAGAATCACAGAATCTTTAGGTTGGAAAAGTTCTCTGTCAGGGCCCCAAAGATCCCTGAACACTGTGGAATTATGAGATGAATTATTTATTGGGTAAAAAAAGACAATGCCATGATGACCTAAGGTTTGCTGCTTATGAATTAGTAACCTCAATCACTCAAGGTACTAATCGGGAAATTTTAAGCCTAACAACATTTCTGCATGAACAACTGACCCCCCCAGTGGGTGCCCTGGGTGTAATCATCATCCTGAGCTACCATAAAATCAAGGGAGTTTCACACTGTTTCAACTTCCAACAAGAAAGAGTTCCAAGTGATCATGCTTGGAAGCAGCCTCACTTACTGAGAGGGAAGTTCCAGCATTATCATTAGTCCGATTTTGCCTCAAGGTCCTGCCCTAAGGGGGTACCCTGGGCTCAACTTTCCAGGGAGGGAATTCTCTCCTGCTCTGCTGCCTCCCCCTGGACAGCAGCAGAATAGTCCTTGGGAAACAAACATCAAACTCAAGGGCCAGTCCAGATCTCAACTTTTCCCCCAAATGACCATTCCCCATAACTTTTAGCTCCTCTCTGAGCTGTGCTGCTGATGCCCCCAGCTCTTGCCACCGGCACCTGGGGAGAGCTGGGGAATGGGAAGGGCTTGCTGGTCCCTGTGTGCACAGCTGGGATGAAGGGAAAAGACCAGTTCCAGTTTACACCCCAACAGCAGCACCACATTCACCACTTGCTCAGGAGAGAAAGAAATTACAGAGATCTGCTTACCTGCCTTACTCAGCAAAGATGAGCACTGATATCGGACAGGTATTCTTCCTCTTGCCAGAGAAATTTCCAGTGGCAGAAGGGAAGGAAAATGAACAGAAGAATCAGATCCTGAAGTTTAAATGTGGTGTCTCTTTGCCTAAAACTCACTTTGTTGCCTGAAGGTCAAATCTCCTCTGCTGTATGAGGGCTCTGTGTTGGTGACGTAGGCAGTTAGGTGCAAACGGAGCTTCAATGTCAATGAGAGTTTTAAGCAGTGATCCAGCTCAATGCCCACAAAATACGGTGTTTTAGAACTAGAGCTGGATTTTACCTGTTGTCAGGTAAGAATGATTGCCACGCCTTCCGTCTGTAGATGAGAGGTGAACTTTGATCACCTCCTTAAGGAAGTAACTTCGAAGAATTAAAATGAAATTAAGCCTTGAACATCCGGGGATTAACTTGGGGTGTGACTCTATTTAAAGAGCAAGGATCATTCTTCTGTAAGACTGATGTTTTTGTTGACAGGTTACCTAGGAAATGAAGGTGAGGTTTTCCTGGGACTTCACAGTCATACTTTAGAGAAATTCACTTGAAATGGGAGCAATTGTTTTTCTAGTGGATGACATCTGAAGTACTCTTGGATTTCCACTCAACTTGCCCTTTAGTGTTACTTCTCACAGCTGTTCTTGCTTCAAAGTCTGTGCCAGAAGTATTTCTCATTGTCCTAGAAATTATTTGATATTGCGAAAATCCTCTCTAACTAATTTGATATCCTACTATGAGCCACCTGCCTCATGCCAGAAAGATGTTGTATGAAGGTTTCCTGGGTTATAGTGAGGCTTTTGATAGTGACCAAAACTACAGCCAAAAAATGTGCATGCTCTAAAAAGGCAGACCCGAGGAGGAGCCATGCTAAACAGTTCTTGGAACATGTAAACTAGTTTGGGGAAAAGTTTAAATATACATAATTGTTTATGACTATGCAATAGGCTGATGTAATAGGAAAGGTATGTAAAGGGCATCTTTACATAAAGACAGAAATAGCAGGTGTGTTCTTGGCAGAATGCCAAGCACCCAGCTATAAATCTTTGCTTTATTGTCTTCGTCTCCTATAATCCTTTATTTAACTTTTAAATTTTTTTTTTACAGCAGAGTGAACCTCCTTTTTCACACTTTCTCCTTAGGTGGCCTTTGCCAAGAATCCACAGAACATCTGGGACTGTAACAGTGGGGTACTTTGAGCCACTCATTCCCAGTCAGGCTGATTCCAGCCTCCAACACAATCAGTTGCTGGGACCCACATCACTCCAGAAATACAGACAGGTTTTGTCCCTCTGTAGCCTGATGGCATTGGGATATCCTGTGCCCCAGTGTCTGCTGGAGCTCTGTACTCTGGGGGGGCTGCTGTGCCAAGCCCTCAAATGCACACACTCCAGTTAACCCATATGTCCCTCTCCTCCTCCTGGCTGCATGCAGGGTCTGATCATAGGATTCTCTGCTTACTTCATGTGAAAACAGTTCAGAATGCCTTTCTGTAGGATTGGGAGTAAGATCAGTGTATTCATTCTGTCTGGTAAATACACAGCTGGAGATTGGAGAAGCTGAGTGGAGGAAATGAGAGCGAGCATCTCTCGTGCTGTCTCCCAGCAGCTCTTGGGCTAAATGGCATCTGCCTTTTGTTTAATGTGATATTTTATTTCCAAGTAGCTGAGAGATCTGTAAGGAGCCAAGAAAATTCAATGCGTGTGCTGCCACCCAAGAGGGAATCCGAGAACTGGTGATCCCACCAGCCCCAGGATGGTCATGACAGTCCTCATAGTTTTAGGTAAGGAAGCCTAAAATTTTCAACCTTAGGCAACTTTTCAAGTTTAGTCAATCCCTAAACCTGAATGTTCCAGGAGACCCAGAGCCTGAACTGCACATTCAAGGGCAGTTGCATTGTGTGGTGAAATGGAGCAGGTAGGAACAGATTGGCAAAGCTACAAAGAGCCTGGAGATAGTGCCAAGAGATGCTCTGCAAGCTCAATACCCAGCCTGAGCCCTGTCCTGACAAATGTGGGGCTGGCAAGATGCAATAATCCCTGCTGTGTCATCAAGGTGGGGGAAATTTGGGATCATTCCCAGCCTCACTCCTCAACCTGGCTGGGCATGCAGCTGCTGAGACATGGTTGTGTCCTGATGCCCCCAGTCACCCCCCACCCATGGACTTGGGACACTTTGGAGGCATTTTAGGAGTAAATTAGGCCCCCCCACCCATGGACAAGACTTGGGACACTTTGGAGGCATTTTAGGGGTAAATTAGGCTGGTTCAGGGAAGGCAGAGAGACAATTTGGGGGGGCTTTTTGGTGCGTCTCTGTGTCTCCTCCTACCCGAAATCTCCCCAGATATTAAAATGGATTTTATATGTGTGATGTTAAAGTAACTTTGTTATAAAGATATAGTTTGTATTTATGCTGTTAATTAAGCTTAGACATAGGAGGGAAATAGCTATGCTTGTGTTAAAATGCCTGCTTGGATGGAATAACGTTCAGTGAACATAGGATGAGGACCCCTGCTACAGATATGCCAACTATCAGCACACACCCTCTGAAAACAGCGAGGACCAAGGCCCAGACTGGAAGTGAAAAGGAGAAGGAGCCAAAACCACAGCCAAAAAACTTGCATGCTGTAAAAAGACAGACACGAGGAAGGGCTGTGTAAAATAGTTCCTGGAAAATGTAACCTAGTTTATGGATATGCATAAGAGTCTATGAATATGCAACAGGTTGATGTAATGGAGAAAGAATTTAAGGGATATCCTCAAAGATAACTGTGTTGTCTTGGCTAAGTGCCAAGATGCACCCAGCCCTTTGCTCTGTGGTCCATTTTGTCCTATTGTCCTTTATAAACTTTTAAAAATTTCATAGGAGAGTAAACATGTTTTTCACACAGGGAATACCATTAGATTGGGGAGGTATCCTTCAGGAAAACTTTCTTTTTCTTTCCTTATCTTTTATCATTTCCTTAGTCCATTCTACCATACAATATTGTATCATTTTCTCTTTACTTTTTCCTCTCCTGGTTTCATATTTATTCCACAATTTTTAACATTACCCCAAGGGGGCTATCCTGGGATATCTGGCAAAATGTTCCCTCTTTTTCCAGTACCTTCAGTACCTCTATTTTCCTGCTGGTTTATACCAGCTCCTGGGTTTTTGCTTTGGCATTTACCCATTTTATCCTAACAGGTGTTCCCTCACTTGCCTCGACCACACTTGTTCAGACCTTGGTCCCTTCTTCTCAAGGATTTCTCTAATAAAAAGTTCCTTCTACCAGTACCACCTCCCACCTATGATTTACTAAAAAAATCCCCCCTAACTATTATCACATCTCACCCCCAACCTTTTATATACAGAAAATCTTCCTTCACTCACTTCGTTCCTTCACCTGCCACTCCCCTCATGGGGAGGCAAAACCGAGGTTAGAAGAACTCCACAATCACTTTGTGACTAGGTCACATCTCACACACACACCATTCACACTCTTACACGTCTACACCCATTCTTATCCCACCTAACCAAGTGATACTTACAGCCTCCTTTTCTCTCCTGGGTCCTCGTGCACGAGTTATTACAGGTGAATTTACTGCAGTCTACTCCAGGAGCTCAAAATTCTTTGCTCATAATTTACCTTAAAGATCTCCTCCTCCCTGAAAGATTCCCCAGTCACTCAGGGCCACCTGAGCCAAAAGCCTCCAAGGTCTCCCTGAGATCAGGAGTCTCCCTCGATGGATTTGGAAATTTCCTGGCCAATGCACCAAATCTGTTATAAATGAGAAGCTTGACTAGTCTAATATTCAAGGAGCAATCAATTTATTAATTAATATGGTAAAGTATGAGCAATACAGGCTGGGTACAGTGGAGGAAGTTTTCCCTCCAACTGCACACTGATAGCTGAGACTTACAGCTATTTATAGGGCTACTCATAAGCTTTCTCGGCAGTTTCTGTTCCCAATTTTTACTCATCAGCAGTTTCTATTCCAAGTTTTTATGTCACAATTCTACACACTATTGTGATTCAGTTTTTCTCAGGATGTATCCAAGAAAGGAGTATCCCCAGATGGTGGGATCCAGCTTCCAAAAGAAGTCTCCCAGCTGGTGAGGTCCAGATTCCAGATGTGGGTCCACCTTGTAATTGCAAGGATTATATCTCATAACAGTGATGTCCAGCTTCCCTTGGTCAAAACTATCAATCCTTGAGTTGATGTTCATCTTCCTTTCTCAAGCTGCTTTTCACTTGTTAAGGCATTGAGATAAGCATGTTTCCTTTTTATATATTCTAAAGCTATAGTTTCAAAGATCCTTACTACATGCAATATTCTAAAATTATACTTCAAAAGGTTATTATTGCAAAACTCTTTAAGGCTTAGCTACAAGCAGAAAGTTCCTGTCAAACATCAACATCCTTAAACTTCCTTTAATTCAAATGCTCCTAAATCAACTTAAGACTTATATAATTGCGAACAAATTATAGGTTCAAAGGCCTTCTTCCATGCTTTACCTCCTCAGTTATTTATTAGAATTTGTCTTGATAACTGTCCTATGGTCAGTTTCCACATGTATTACAATCACAGATACACACGTTGCCTGTATGTACCTGACACACAAAATGCAGCTTGGGATTTCACACAGCTCCTGCCAGGAGAGGGATCACTCGCACCACCAGCGCCGCCCTAGTGCCTCTGCTGTGGGGGGAGAGAGAGAGAGAGACTGTCACATCATCTGCCTTGTGCTGGTGCTGCTGCCACCACGGGAAAGCCACGCTGCCACCTCCAAGCGGCGCCACTCCAAGCACCATCCTCACGCGGGAGAAAAACCCTGGCAGCACCATCCTCGTGCAGGAGAGAAATAAAAGCAAGCACAGGGTCCTTCCTTATTTCCTTTGCCACGAATCCTCAGGCATTGAACCCACGTTCTGAGCCAGCCAAACCGTGACTCTGCCCGCCGGTGGCAGAGACAGGGCACGGCCACTCCTGATCGCCTCCCACGACCGGGGGCACAATCTCAGTTATATTATGATATTATATACATTAAAGAATGCTATACTAAAAAGAATAGCGAAAAGATACAGACAGAAGGCTAGGAAAGACATGAATAATAAAAACCTGTGACAGACCAGAGAGTCTGACAGAGCTAGACTGGGATTGATCATTAAGTAAAAACAATTCACATGGAACCAATCAAAGATGCACCTGTTGGTAAACAAGCTCCATACCATATTCCAAAACAATCAGATAATTATTGTTTACATTTCTTTTCTAAGGCTTCTCAGGAAAAATCCTGGTGAAGGGATTTTTCATAAAATATCACAATGACAGAAAAATAATTCATTAAAAGAACTGGACCTTAGCAGTGCTGGGGAACAAAAAGCCATGCTGGGGGGGAAAAAGCCATGCTAGGAACAAAAAGAACTAAACACAGAAATTTTAAATAGCTCAGAAGCTTAAGCACTTTTAACACTTTGCAAACTGATAAAGAGCTGACCTTTTCAGAACAAGAGTACTGCAAAGTGTGTACTTTACACAAAAAAATATCTCCAAAAAAAATATCTCCAGACACACAAGTAGTAGTTTCAGCTTCTTGCCTTTTACGACCTGCTAAGTACAGGAAAGTGTCATTGCTCAAAACCCACGACAGAATGCAACTGGTACCTTGAGGTTTCCTTTATTTCTCAGAGCAAGTCTTCCCTATTTTATATTTGCTGGTGAAATAAGCTGTGTCTTCCAGAAGATAAATATGCAGCAGCAAGAATTAAGTTATTTAGTACAAAGCTTAAACTTTTCTGCAGTGCAGTTACTCAGCAAAGCTTAAAATTTGCAGCTTGCATCACATTTTACAATAAATATATGTTTAACTGTTGTATTGTGCTTTTAGTTTTGTTCGTAGGTTTATAGTTTGATTTGTAATATGGGCGTTTTCATTGTTTCCTTTTTGTTCCGCCTTTTCCCAGAACTTTCGTCACTTTCCTGTTGTTAGTTTCTAGTTTCTATTTCCCCAAACTTTATCAGTTTACTGAAACTGCTCTCCCCCCTTGGAATTTCTATTTGTTTATACATTGTGGCTCCCGCCTGGTTTTTTACTCCCAATTCTCCTGATTTGTTGAAGACTGTACCCTCCCCTGAGACCTGCCCCCAGATATAAGCTTCTCTCTGCCCCCCTGTTCCTCGTCGCCAGGGTGAAGAGGGGAAGTTTTATCATCAAATAAAGTTACCCTGGGACCCGTGTGCTGCTCTGTCCCACTGGCACTGGGATTCAAGGGAGCTCAAGGGGGAATCTGCCACCCCTCCTCCACTTCTGTCATCAGCTAGCCGGGAGGGCAGCATTTAAACATTTCTTTCTTTCTTTCTGCCACTATTTGAAGCCATTTCCAGTGATACAAGAGCAAACAGAACCTTGGCTTTATGACATCTTTTCCATTTACTCCCCTGCTTCATCCAATTTTGACCTCTTACAACCAAAGGTCAGCAAGATGAGCTGGAAAAAATAGCAGGAATTCCTTGTGTTCAGCTAAGCTAAACAAGTCCAGGACCCAGTAATTCCCAAATTCTAACCCCAGACCTGCCAATGACTTGCTGTATGGCTTTGAATTACTGGATTTGGGCATTTTGCTTTCAAATGGGTACATAGGAGAAGCTCATACTGTGCAAAAAGTGGAACAGCCTCAGGGGCATTAAAATGCTTCACAGCCCCTTCAGTGAGATTTGGTAACAGTTTTTTTAATTTACCTTTTTAGAAATCTTTCCTTGAAATTATTTAATAATTTTATGGACGAAGTCACACTACTTAAACTTTACTTAATGGTAAAATACAAAGATGATGAGAAAAGAGAATTACTTGCTAACCACAACCAAACCCTCTCCCATCAGCACAGCTGTCTCAGGACAAACTGGTCAGTACCATCCAACACCCGAGTGTGTTCTATAACTGATGCTGAGCTGCCCTCTAGTGAAGTCAGAAACCACTTCCAGCACCTAGATTTCTGAAATTCAGGTCTCAGTCCTGAAAGGGTTAAAAGCATTGTGTCTAGGCATACTTTGGGCAAGAATAAAATACATTTTGACCAATAGAGAAGCTAGCAAAAATTAGCGACAAGCGAGAAGTAGGGAACATAACTTGCAAAAATGAAGGACAGAGTTTGCTAGAACCAGCGAGAAAATCCCTGAAACAGCTAATGAGAGATTGCTCACGCCTAGAGGAGAAAGGTGAAAAGAGCATGGGGATAAAAATGTCCAGCCTGCACCAGGGGACCACTGAGGAAGACGCGGATCCTTCCCGGTGATCACCAGGGTGCACTTCGCCCGTGCTTCACGTGTGCTGATGATAATGACAGCTAATAATGATGAGTTCTAAGAGTTTGCATAACCACGCCTTTTCTAAGGAAAACTGTGAATATGCATAAAGTATGACCATGTATTGAAATCTGGTCTGTACCTCTGTGCGTGGTTAGGAGGAGATATCCCCGTGCACCCAGCACACTGAAAAAGAAACCACCCGCTTCTCGACTTTGTAACTCAGAAATGTCTCTTGGCCCTGGTTTGAGGCCATTCAGTCCCAGACAGAGTTCAGCCAGATTTGTTTATAACAGAAGAATCCTACAGCAAGCATCTTAATCAGTGCATCTTAACAGTGTGCTTATGTTTTAATTTTACTCTTCCATCCTAGGGTCTTCAGTTTAGGTTGAGATTAAACACGGTACTAAAGTTAACACCTCCAGAGCATACTCTGCTTTTCCCAAGACTTGTGAATTCAAGTTCTCATCTTACAATGAATCACTGGCAAAAACACTTCACAGACCTAATATATCTGAACATAGGGTATTTTATTTTTTAAAATAGCGTGACAAGAATTCACCAATAGGCTCCTATAGTCAAAATCTTTAACGTGGTTATACAATTAATTTTTCTCATGCTCAGAGTACATCTTCTGGGATGCCACTTTCACTGAAGTCTTAATGACTTCAGTGCTGGTTACTGGAGCACCTTGACTGGTGCTGTCACCTCCCAAAAAATTCCATTGTGGGAAGAGGTCAGGATGAGTCACAATTTATTCTCAAATCAGGGTTTTAATGTAGCAGGTCCCTAATCAACCTTTTTTTTCATTAATTTAAGCAGAACAAGGCAGCCACTTCAGGAAGAGAGGAGAAGGATTTGGCAGTCCCAGCTTGGGGACCCTGATGGTATTACAATTTCACCACTGATTTAAAAATCATGTGATACTCAGGCTTCTTTGCATTCACAGAAAGATAAGATTGGGGTTTTCCTTAAGAATTAAACCCATGTTAGATGCAGTTGTCTCTGTGACACAGGAGGCAGGAAAGCATAAATGGGGTGGGTTTTTTTTTCACCTCTTGGTTTAGGGTACCTTGAAACTACAGTTGGCAAGTTGGGCTGAGCTGTGACACCAAACATCAGCAGGGTCTCAGGGGACTGGGCTCCTCCAGGCAGCAAAATGCTGTTTCCAGCCCAGCCTCAAGTGAAGCAGGCTGATGGAAAAGCTCCTGCTAAATGCATGGAGCAGAGGCCAGTTTGCACAAAATTTCTGTTTCAGCACATTATATTTCATGTAATTATAACTATTAAGACATTCAAGCACTTCTGGAAGACACAAGCTTGAGTGCCAAGCAATAAAATCGTATTTGTGAGCTCACACGAAGCATTGGAATAAATTGAAACAAGTTGCCTGGAAACTTACCAGGTACATTTATTTAAAACAAACAAATTTAAAAATACATATATTCCATTATTTTGTAGCTTCCATATAAAATAAAAAAAATAATAATAATTGGAAAAAAAAACATTTTGATTTTGTCAGAGTTGTTTTATCTGCAGGTTACCTGGGGAAAGACCAATAGAGATAATTTTGTTAGTATTTTCCAAACACCAAGCCATCACAAAATTCTATGCAATCTTAACATGCAGCAGTCAGAGCTGCTTCCAGTCTAAATAAGTTCAGCCTCCCCTCATTAACACAGTTTTTGTCAATCTAGTGTACTATTGTAAGGCAACAAGATGTCCCAGTTTCCCAAGAAGACATTTAATTGCACAATAAAATTGTATCTGCACACTCACTATGCTTCAAACTTCAGTAATTCCTGTAATGGGAATTTGAAATGATGCAGACTTCTGAGGGCTCACAACACTCCAGAACAGGATCAAGCCAAGTCCCGGCCAGCCTGCAGCTGTTTATCAACATTGCTGAGTTTGACTTAAATATAATCAGCTCAGTCTGGCTGACAGCAGTTTTTTAGTTGAACTGTCAACTTGCTGCATTATCAGAAAAGCTGAGAGTGACAAGGCCAGTCCTACTCCAGCCCATGAGTGACCCAGGCAGGACAGATCACACAGGACTAAGAAATTCTTCCTGCCATCTATAAAGAAATGGAGGTAGCAAAATGAAAATTCTGAGGCTCCTCAAGCCAACACTGTAGACAGTTCTAGTGCTGTTTTCACCTCAGTTACTGGTTCATTTTCTCCTGTATCTTCTTTCAGAAGAATGAATAATGTTTCAGCCTAAAGAAAAAAAATTGAGAGATTTAAAACTTCTCAGTAATCTGTTGAAGGGACAACACAGAGAAACAATAGTTCTTCAGCAGTGTCACTGAGTATCCTTAGCTAATCTGAAACATAGATGTAGTAAAAGATAGCAAACATCCACCTGCTAGAGTAACTTAAGTGCCATTATAATATGCAATTCAATTTCAAATAAAGGACAAATCGCAAGATTTATTCATATTTAGGAATATTTTTATAAATTTTCCCTGTGTGTCTTGATAAATCATTGAAATTTCATCTTAAAATTAAGCAGTTTTTCAAGCACCATGTGAGTTGAAAAAAAAAATATTCATGCTTAAAGTTAGCCCTGCTCCTCACTCCTGACCATACCAACAGGGGAGCAAAATCAAAAAGTATGGAAACAGGGTGTATTGCATAATCAGACAAAGAACAAGGGTTGCTCTCCATCAGGGAAAGCCAACTCCACACTCCAGCAATTCATCAGGTGTAATCCAGATCAGGAATCACTTTATCACTTACAGTCACCTGCCCCATCTTACAGAACATAAACATGTTATCTGTTATTAATGGACCTAACTTAGTACCTACCTAAATAACAAAGCTTTGCCTTTGTTATTTGCTACAGAGAAATATCCACTTCTGGGAGAGAAGTCCATAGATTGAGTAAGATAAATCTGTTTTTTTCTGAAGACTGGGAAGTTGGAGAATACAGTGTATGAAGGAAGGTGCACCTATTGAGAAACAGATCAGAATTAAAGTTGGGGAGAAAGCACTAAAAATAAAATTAAACCACAAATCTATAATTGAAGCTCAATGTTAAGTTCAAATGTTCAGTTATATCCCTACCCTACATGACCCTACATACAGAAGTCTATTGGAGAAAAAGAGCAGGGAACAGATCATGGAACCAATTAATGCAATTCTCAGGCCTACAAATCCTCAGATTAATTCAACAGTTTCACTGTTGGCCAGAATTATGATAAGGCTGGAGGAAAAAAAAAAAAAATAACCCACAGTAAGATGGTTACAGTTACCAGCTGCTGAAAACTCACATTTGTTGCTGAGCTATATTTACAGCACTGAAATTGAATCACAGACTGGTTAGGTTAGAAGGGACCTCAGAGTTTTCATCCAATTCCAACCCACTGCCATGGGCTGGGACACCTTCCACTAAACCAGGTTGCTCCAAGCCCTGTCCAACCTGGCCTCAAACACTTCCAGACATTTTAGAGGGCATTTTAAAAAGGTAAAAAAGGTAAACTAAACTACAAAATGTTATTTTCAGAGCAACTTTACTAGAGAAAATAAAATTATACTCTTGTAAATGCAGAATGTCTTGGCCATGTCCTGATCTGGTTGGTCCAGCACCTTTTGCAGTATCTTATTTGCTTTATATCAGTTTTATTATGTCACCAGCAGTATTTTGAGCAAGATATAAAAGAAATATTGCAATAAAAGCTGAACATACCAATCTGACAGCCTCATCAGTGTCACGGGAAGCCACTGCCAAAATCTCTGTGGTGGGATTAAAGGTCACACAGGTGGCAGAAGTAACAAGGTTCATGATGGCCTTAACTGGTTTAGGATGTTTTTCTTTGAGGCAGGCATCAGTAGTGTATAAATTTACAACTCCAGAAGATGAACTAAAGAACAAAATGAACAAAGATTATACTGAAAAGCAACATTTCAGTATATACTGTCTTGTTACCTATAGCCACTACTCACCTGAAAATGTAATTTCCAATTATTTACTGGAGTCTGCAATATTTTGTTTGGAGCTTGATTTTTCTTTAGAGTTTTCACTACTCACCTGAAAATGTAATTTCCAATTATTTACTGGAGTCTGCAATAATATTTTGTTTGGAGCTTGATTTTCCTTTGGAGTTTATAACAGTATCTAGTGGAGGAGTTCAGGTTTTTGCTGGATTGGATTTTCTTTTTTGTTATATAGTAAGAGGCTCAATTGTGGAGAGCCTTGATGAGCCCATCTTTTACCAGGATGAATTCAAAGCAAGGACAGCTTGGTATCAAAAAATTCTGAAATAACTTCAAGTTTTTTATTGTTTTGTTGTTGTTTTTTGGGTTTTTTTAGTAACTGTAGCATAAGCTCACTTTAAAATCCTCTTCTATAGTGAGCTAGGAAAATATATATTGTACTCCTCTATTTATTTGCTATTCTCATTTAAAAGAATCCAGACACTAGCTGAAACTGCATCTCAGTAAATCTGGAGAAACAGTTTCAGCTTGTGGCTTTGAGTTGAGGCCCCTTTTGAAAGGCTAA